TGTGTGTGTGTTTGTGTGTGTGTGTGTGTGTGTGTGTGCGTGTATGATTGAAAGAGAAAAACAAAATGAAGTAATTATTCATGGAAGGAAACAAAAGAAAAAAAAAACTTATCTAAATGCTTTCACTCTATCATTTATCAAACCTTTAATAATTAATTTTTTTTTCCCGCAAATTGATAATTTTAAGTTAATTTTTATGCTTACAAGATTATTTCATTCTGCTGAATTATATTTGTTTGCTAAAAATAAAAATTTGATAATAAAATTTTTTTGGAATAAAGTATGTATAATGATATCAATACATCAATATATCAAATATTATATCATCAGAAATTAAAACTATTCAGATATATTAGAAGGCAAGAATATTTGTTGCTAACTGAACTTAAGCTTACTCCTAAAAAGCCTGAACTTGTTGTCAACTAGCTTAGAGTAGATGAAATACTTTAAGATACTTTTTACGAACACCAGCCTGGAATTGGTGAAACACTCTCAATTGCTCGACGTTGCATTTCTTGTATTTCAGATGGTGTAAAACGATTTCGAACATCGGTTGTTGAATGACGTTCCGGTGGTTTTGGTGGGCCGTTCCGGATGACCGGAAATGATATTGCTAGATGGGGTGATTTTGATTTCGAACGCATATCACGCTGTACCGTATTTGTCAATTCATCTAAGATTGTATCCAAAACATTTGCATCTGCGCTTTTTTTTGAATTGCATGTGGATGTACCTAAATAAATGTTAACAAAAATTATTTTAACTCTTTCTTATTAGAAAGTAATTAAATTTTTGGTAATTATATGATTTAATTATTATTTTACATTAACTTATACCAAAGTGAATTTCACTCATAACTCTCTATAATAATTGAAAGAAGAATAAATGATTAAAAAATTTGAATATTATTCATGAAAAAAAAATTATTGATGTAACAATAAAATAATGAAATAAATACATTTTACACTTATCAATATTTTTTCCTATTTTAAATAATTCTTTTTTTACTGCATATAAATTCATGAAAGAGAAGAAGAGAAGGAGCCAAAATTTAAATTCTAGTAATGTTAAAAATTGAAATGGAAAATGAAATGAAATAAACTTAGAATAATTTTTTAAAACTTGAAATACTTTTTTTGGTTGTTTACATATTCAAAACTTAAAATACTCCTTTTCTTCCTTATTTACACATTTAAAAGTAAAAATAACTTTTTTTTTTAGTTGTTTATAAAGCATTTTTTTTCGGGCTGTTCACATATTTAGAATTTAAAATAGCACTTTTTACCATTTTTTAACTTATTTAAAATAGCTTTTTTTTTTTGCTTCCTTATTATGTTGTCTTAAATTTTTAGCATTTTTTTTTTCTAATAAATTTAAATATGAATAAAAAAAAAAATGGAAAAAAAAAGAAAAGATAAGCACCTTCATAATAAATAGGTGATGGTGGTGGTAATGTTTGTTCGCGCATTTTTTCATCAATCATTTCTCGTTTTTCATTTCTTCGATTATCATTTATTCGATCATTTTTCATAAATTTTGTATGATCGCTTGTAAATTCATTCTCTCGCAATGTAAATAATGTTCGATTATTGTTATTCTTTTCCATTTTTGTCATATTTAAGCTTGGATCTTGCACCATTGCTAATTTTTTCATTGTTACCATCATATTTGCTAATGTTTTGCAATGTCGTAAGCATTGATCAATTTGTGCAGTTTCTTCTTTGATAAATTTTTCCTCGCAAACAATTCGCTCCATGTTTGCTTTAATTTCCTTTTGTAATTCATTTTGTATTGTTGGGAATTGTGCTAAAAAAAAAAAAATTGCATTAAAACGAAAGAAAAAAAAATTAGTGATATTTTTTGTTTATACATTTTTTTGAAGTTTTTTTTCTTTTTTTTTTTTTATTTCACAATGATCGATTTCTTATGTAATAGATAAATTTGAAGAAAAAAAAAAGACAAATAAATATGCAAACTTTTTAATTTTGCTGCATTACGACCGATTCGTGTAAGCGTTTCGGTAAACGTTTCCACTTCATTCATACGTAATTTTCGATTTGTATTTAATACTAAATGTCTGACCTCTTCAATATTTTCTTCAAATATTCTATAATTTTGATAGCGTTTAAATTTATTAAAATTCTTATCTGTTATATTATTATTAGTAGTAATCAAGGCTGATATTATTGGTAATTAAGATCAATATTTTCATGCTATCTTCAATAGAACTATATTATCAGTTACATATTTTATCATTCTATAAATACTGCAATATTATCAGTTTTAAGATCAACAGTGATCAATGTTGATCATTTCAAGATCAATATTTGATATTATATTTAATATTTGATCATTTTTATAAATATTGCAGTATAAATTTAATATTATTCTTGCATGATATAAGTGTATGTCAGTTATATCATTTATAACATCGCATTAAAATTCGGTATATTTCAGTGAAATTATTTTGAATGTAATCAAAGCGTTTTGTCAATCGGATAATTATTGCAATGGTGATAATGATGATGACATAATTAATGATAGAGTAAGTAGATACAATGATATCCATCTTATAATATAATTAGTTTAATTAGTTCTATCATATCGTATATTTTTTCAATTTTTAATAAATATTATTATTAGTATTCCATAAAATTGATTGCTGTAAAAATTTCGCATTTGAAAAACATTCTCAATAAATCTGAATTCAATTAATAAGTATATTCGTATTTTATTTTCTCGAAAATATTGCCAATGCTGTTATTTTTATTTGAATTCGATTAACAAATTTGCATATTTCGTTTTTTTAAAGGTTGTGAAATCAAAAACTAAAAAAACAAAATTACTGTAATGATTTTTGAAGATTAGCAATTTGAGCAATGTGTTCCGATTTAAGTGTATCAATGACATTTGGAGATGAATGATATGGTGTAGCACCGAGATAATTTGCAACGTACTGATGAACTCGATCAAATGCATCACGTAAAATATCACGTGATGCTTGCGTATTCATCTGTAATAATCATAAGAATAACTGCGACGAATATGCTATGATATTCAAACTGAAATGCGATAACAGTAAGAGATAGAATTATTGATTATTTTTCTTAGAAATATAATCATCAATTCCAAGAATAAGTAAAATACCTGTACTGTACGTCGAATTTGCTTCAATTGATTTTGCATTTCAGTTATATGCCGTTTAAATTTTAAAATTTGCAGCTGTGTTTCTCCGTTCAAAAATACCGAATCCATAAATGATGGATCAGTACTTGGTAAACTGCTTTCTGATGCAATTGATGCTACTGCAATTTTGTAATTAAGAAATGAAACACTGACAGGGTCGAATAAAATTTAAAATACATTAAAACAAATTTTTGA